AATGTTAAGCTTTCGTTAATACCTCAGATATTTAAATTGATCCAGTTACCGAATAAATTACGTCATAAATACGTAACTTCCGCGTACAAATAATGTTTATATTATAGGTTCATTATTTGTACGCGCGTACAAATAATGACTTCGTATATATATATATATATATATATATATATATATATATATATATATATATATATATATATATATATATATATATATATATATATATATATATATATATATATATATATATATATATATATATATATATATATATATATATATATATATATATACATAATTATTACTCTTATATAAACCAACTTATTAGTACAACATTTAAAATGGACTTAAACGTACTTATAAATTCAGCTCTCATGTAAACAGAACAAAATATAAACAAAACGGTTTAGTCACGTGTTTAAAATATCCGTGTGACAAAATTATCGCGATATGATTGGCGCACTGGTAATAGCAATATTCCAGGGCTTAATATCAGTGTATCTGCACTGGTAATAGATTTTACGATATTTACCCTAAAAAACTAAAAATGTATTTGCAACTGTTGAAGGAAATTAACTGAAGAAACATTGTAAAATTTGACGTTTTTTGTAGCAATTTCAATGCATGGTGTTTAATTTTGATGTTTAATCTTTTTCGATTTCACTTCTAGTATTAAAAAAATGTAAAAAATATTTATAATATAAAATATATATATATATATATGTATAAAAAGTGCTTCAAGAAATAACATTAAAGTCTAAAAAGATTGATAATATTAATTAACATTAAAAATAACATTAAAGTCTAAGAAGCAAAATTTTGGCCAAAAAGAGAACAGACTTTTAACAGGAAACCGTTATACGATTGCAGCAGAAAGAAAACAGAAATTGTTGCAATCAAGATATTGTTTTAGCTTCAAGTTGTGCAAGCGCAATAAAATTACAGTCAACGATTAATGGAAATCAAGTGGTAAATTACACTGTGAATAAAGATTATTTCATACTTAATAATTTTTAATGGGATTACACAGCCATAGCGGAGCATTCAAAAAATTGTCATGGCAATTTTACATGGAACAATAAAAATACCTTAAAAGTAGATGTTAATAATTTTAACAGAAAAGTGAAGGAAGCGCTTGAAATACAGCGCCATGAATGCTCACCTTCAGACGGCGGTCTAAATCAGGACGACGGAGGTTACGTCACAACTTCCTTTCGGAAACCTATGTTTCGATATTTAAATGAAAAGAAACTATTGCATTGATTTGTTTTGTTTTTGTTTTGTATTTAACGGTTTTTTATATATATTTATATACTTGACAACGAGGGTATCAATAATCCCCTGAAATATTGTATAAAAATTAATAAAGAGTTACATCCATAATAGAAGTTTTAATTTGATTCATACTTATTAATTTTTCAATTTTTTTTTTGATATTGTGGAAAGCGTTAGATGTCCAGATTATTACAGTTTTGTTACCATTGTTGATAATTTTTCTAAGTGCATGGGGTTTGCCCATCACCTTGAAATCAAGTGTAGTTTATGTGAATGGAAAAAGTTTTATATTCTTCTAAACAGAGTAGTAAATTGAATGGCAATACGGCCGAGGGTAGAAAAACATTTGAAGCAAACACAGGAATGATTATTGGATTTAGAAAAATAGGAATAGGGTATCAAACTATGAAAACCTTTAGTCACTGTACGAATTTATACTGTTTGACAGCTGTTTTGTTTAGAAAACTAAAATAGAAATATCAAGAGCTTATAATAAAACTGCTAAAAAAAGTATGAAGCGTGTCACAACTGAAATGAAAGATAACCATACTGATGATACCAACAATGAAGCATGTTAAGGTTGACGGTGCATGTCAACAACGTAAAAGTTTGCATAGACTGTAGAATATGGAGAAAAAAAAAAGTATCATAACGATACAATGCTCGGAAAGCTCTACATGCCTATCATATAAATCATAAACGATCATCTGGATCAATAAAAGCAGCTGGTGCTGTTAAAATATTTGCCGTTCGATTAAAAATATTACTATTTATACTCATTATCTTGGAGATGGAGATTCATCTTTTAAACAAGTAGTAAAACTGATCCCTAAAAAGACTATGGAATAACTCTTGAAAAGTTAGAGTGTGTTGCACATGTACAAAAAAGAATAAGTTCACGTTTACGAAATTTATTCAAAAGTTACAAGGGAACGTTAACTCAGTAGGTGGAAAAAATAAACTGACAGTGAATGTGATCAATAGTATGCAAAACTATGGTTTATATATAAACCATATTTTGAAGTAATAAAAATAACATTTATGCCATGAAAAAGGTAATATAAGCTGTTTTATTCCACTATAATGGATACTCAAATCAAGAGTTTCGCTACTCTTTTTACCCAAAAATTGAAATTAGTTGGTGTCAATTTCAATGACTTAGCTACACAATACTTCAAAATGTAAAGAACATATAAAATTTACCAATATGGATTTAAAAACTTTTTTTTTTACCTTTTAAATACCTTTTAAAACCAGTGTTTTTGGATCTATCAAATAAAGAATTATTGTTAAAATGTGTACGCGGGTAGACCCAAAATACAAATGAAAGTCTTAATGCATTGCATATCTGTTTGTAAACAAACTTTTGAAATGATTATTAATTTAGCAATTTTACACTATGATGGTAATGAAGATGTTAAAAATGTTTTACTTTTATTCTAAAATATATTAAAACTTTCTTTCGCAATTTATTGACCTTCGATTTTTTGCAAGATTTTGCAACTTCAAAATCAAATATCTCAGGAAAAATTCAATTTAACTAAAACTTTCACAGTATCTTCAGTATACATATAAAATTCATTTGAACTAAAATCTTATAATAATTAAATGTATTTATAGCAAACTATTTGTTTTCTATTCTCATTTTGGTATTTTTTTAGTGTATAAATGACGCATATTTTTTATCCTAATAAGTTTCCTTGTGTCATTTTAGTTTAAATTAATTATTATTGAATATTGTTGAAGAACAAACCTACACTCTTAATTAAAAGGTGTTAAATTACACTAAAAAGGTGTGCAACATGAAAAACACCGGAACGGTGTTAAATTACACCGTTTTAGTGTTTTTCATGCTGCACACCTTTTTAGTGTTAATTTACACCATTTTTATTGTATTTCATGCTGCACACCTTTTTAGTGTTAATTTACGCCGTTTTAGTGTATTGCACACCTTTTTGGTGTTAAATTACACCGTTTTGGTGTTAAATTACATCGTTTTGGTGTTAAATTACACCGTTTTGGTGTTAAATTACCCTTTTTTGGTGTTAAATTACACCGTTTTGATGTTAAATTGCACCGTTTTGGTGTTTATTTACACCGTTTTGATGTTAATTTACACCGTTATAGTGTATTTCATGCTACACACCTTTTAAGTGTTAATTAACATCGTTTTGGAGTTAAATTACACCGTTTCAGTGTATTTCAGGCTAGTTTCAAACAAAAAAAATCTAAAAATTAACATACACACATATTTAGTTATTAAGTACATAAAAATATGTTGCTGTTTATGTTTTACTTAATTTTACAACTTTTTAAAACGGTTTATCGATTATAAAAAAATGTTATTTCACACCGTTTTATTAAAAAATTAACCTTTAGATTGTATAATTACACCAAAACGGTGTAAATTTACACTTTTTGTTAAAAAAAAAAAGTTTCAAAAAACACCCTTTGAGGTTATATTAACACCAAAACGATGTAATTTTACACCTTTTAATAACCAGTGAACCAAGCAAATGGTAGGAGTGAGCCATTATCTTTGATTACCAGAAAACTAAAATTAGATATTTTCTTTAACTAATTTATTGAAAATTAAGTAACAAATACTTTATAATTAAGCATAACATAATTAAGTAATAATGTAACATAAATAACAACAAATGTAACACTCAATTTTAAACTCATTTAATGAAATAAACAAAATGTATAAACTACCAGAAAAATAGTTTGTTTTCAGTAACAACTGATTTTGACAACAAAACTAAAAACTGTCATGACAAATGATAATTTCCAAATATTAAGATATAATAAAAGTATATATATATATATATATATATATATATATATATATATATATATATATATATATATATGTAATGAAAGTAGTATATTAGCATATAGTATATTGGGAAAAAAATAATATTTGACAAATGATAGTCAAACACAACCTCAAATTTGTAATGGCAATGCTGCCTTTTACTTGTTCCAGAAAAAGTTGGTCGAGGTAGCAATATTTTGGAAGTTATTGCAGTTTCTCTACTACTTTTTCTCTTTTGGATTAAATGTAATACATCTTTTATATCTTTACTGGAAGTTTTTGCTTTCAAAGTTGTTCTTTTATAGACTCGAGGCATTAACATCTGGTAAAAATAAATGTAATGTTGCACACGAGTTTTCTAATGATATACTAAGATATAAAAGTCAAACGTAAATATGTTTTTAAGCTAATGTCTTGAAACAACCGGTATGCTCCTTAAAGAAGTTTCAAAAAATTTACTTTCGCACAGAAAAGAGTGGATGATGACGTAAACGCAGACACCCGCACCAATAAGCGGTAAAAAAATTGGACTGTGTTAACAACAATTTGTATGTAACTACTTGGTGAAAAGTCTTTTTGAAGAGTCTTTTTCATTTCACGTTTTAGCTGTAGGATCAACAATTCACTCCTACCCATCTTTCCTTATGGGTAGGCGAGACAAATTGAAAAAAAAAAAAACTTAAACGATTTTTAACATTAACTTAAATTATTTAAAAAGTACTTGGGAAAAAACAAAAATTTTTAAAAGAATTAGTTTTATTCAGGCCTTACCACATTAATAACAAAAAACTCAACCATTTTTTTAGTTGATCTTGAAGATAGATCTATAAAAAAAGCTAGTGAATAAAAATAATAGTTTAATAACTTAAATGAACATAAACAAAAATAACGAAAACAAAATTAAATGCCTGGTTTCTTCCGTATTTTGACAAAACCTTTATATAAATAACACTAATACAAAAAAAAAACTTAAGTTATAAAGCTGCATTAATGCAGAGTTCTTAAATATAAATATAGCTTATAAAAACATTAGCAAAATAGGAAATATATTAGTTATTATACCAATCAAAATATTTCAAAACAACTTAAAAATTAAAAAAAAAAAACATTTTTAGACGCAAAACAATACTACTTAAAGACTTTTAACGCCTTCAATTTCAATGCGCAAGTTATGAAGTAAACCGACATTAAAATGTATAAACGTCATCGCGTCAACAATTAACGCCATCGCCTCAAACGTCATCGCGTCAACAAATAAAATCATTAATCTTCAAACGTAATTTTTCTGACACACATATATCGTTATCAAATAAAAAAAATTAAGTAACCCAACTTGCAGGGGGTAAAGGTGCAGTACTTGGATGGGGAGCAGCAATAGGCCCGGCATACAGATTTTCTGTATCATTAATTTGTTTTTGAATATTATGTGACGTTGACTGAACAGTTATCGGTTGACGAGGAACTTCACCAGGTTTCCGTAATTCTATGGTTTTACCTAACACTCCTCTACCCCGCCCAAGCAAACCACGACCACAACCACGTTTGCTCGAATCACTGGTTGCAATTCCATTTTTATTTTCAATTACGTTGGTATGACTATTATTTTGGCATTGTTCTCGGGATATATTAATTTCATTAGTTATTAAGTCAGTCTCGTGATCTTTCCCTCCACGCGAAACAGCCCAACGCTTTTGTTGCTCAAATGACTTTAGTTGCGAGGATTGTTTTTCTTGAATTATTCTTTCTTCCTGATTTTCAGATAGAACACGCATCCTGCTTGCAACTTCATTAGCTAAATTTTCAATACCTAAAAATAGTTGAATATATATATATATATATATATATATATATATATATATATATATATATATATATATATATCAGGGGCGGATCTAGGGGATGTCTGCTACGTCGTCGGACGTATCCAAAAAAATCAAATAAAAGTTTCTTAAATTAAATGTTGTTAAAAAAAAAAAGTTTTACTATATATATAACAATTAAAACCAAACTACAGCAATAACTTAAAAAATTATGTACGGGTAATTATCTGAGACGGTTGCAAAGAAATTAAAAACCGGATTACATAATAGTATTCCGGTTTCATAATTTTTGCAATTATTTAAAAAGAGCTTAAATATTTTGATGGAGGTTAAACTAACTTTTGAGTTATATAACTTAATTAGAAACTTGAATTGACTTTTTTTATTTCGTTATATAGAACTTTAAATATTTTTTTTTTATTAGTTTAAAAAAAAATCAAAATAATTATTTCAGTTAAAACAAATTTAATTTCAATTAGTTATTAACAACAACTATACATTAAAATATATCAATGGACATCCCCAGTTTGATTACATAAGACTGCGTATCTTTTTAATAAATTGCATTTTGAATTATAAATAAGTTAAAAAAAGTTTTTACATGATAAATATATAAAAATTAATTTAGATAATATGAAAAAGTAATTTAGGACCGTCTTTTTTTTTTAACATAAACCCTGCTTAGTTTAACCTTCGAATAGAGCAGCTTAATTTAAAATGTTACATGTTTACATAACACTTGCAAGAAAATACGATTCGAAGTTAGTCCTTTGGAGAGAAACATCGGAGAAAAACATCAATTCCTTAAAAGTTAGGCAACCAAATAATACATTGGTGTATAATTTTCTTTTGATACAATAAAGGAAGATAGAGAGTTACAATACAAGAAGAGGCTGGTCAAAAATGCATCGATAAAAAATTAGACTTGTCATTAGAAGTTCCTTGGTGTTTTTGGATAACCAAGCATTTGTGGCTAAATAATAGAATTTCTATATCCAGATTTGTACTTATCAACTATAAATTATTTAGCCAAATTGTCTATCCCCATACGAGACTTCGGGGAATTATTTATTTACGCTTCTTGAGATTCAACCTCAGGTTGAATCTATTATGAGCCCATGCTAATTACAGTTTCATAATATTCATAGAGATCAGAGTTTCATAATACCCATATGTTTATAAGGCTTGTTCTTGAAGATTTTTAAACTGCTTGCAGAAATGATTCTGGACTTTTATTCCACCATTTTGCAACTCTGTTTGTCAAAAAATTTTCCCTTGATTTGTTTCTTTTTATAAGTTCAATATCTACACGTGCTTTATGTCCTCTAATGTTTGCAGCTGGACCATTTGACGAAATAGAAATTGCTGCTTTTGGTTGTTGATACCAAAAAACTTTGTCTAATTTATGAAAAATTTTATAATATTGAATTAAATCATATCTTATTCTCCTAGTTTTTAAGGAAGTTAAACTTTTAACCTTTCTTCATAGGGCCTTAACTGCGGAATTCATTTAGTTACTCATTGTTGAACAATGTTTAATTTATGTATATCATATTTATTATAATGATTTCATATTAGTGATGCATATTCAAGAATAGGCTTCACAAAAATGCAGTATAAAATCTTTATTGTGTTTTTATCCCCTTTGTTTTCAAAGAGCCTTACCTTCTTTTTAAGTTATAAAAGAATTTAAAATTTTTTTGCTGGACTTTTTTATACAACATTTTAACAAAAGCAATTATTGATTTTTCTTTGGATATTATGAATTGTGAAATCATGGCTAATATAACAAATACTTTATAAAAGTTTTTTTTATTTCTGTCGTTTGCTGTTTTGAAGAATGTCTTTAAACATCAATAGTAAATTTAATTGTGAAACCTTTTCTACTGCTTCCTTTCTACTGAAGCTAATAACAAATTTTGATTTTATTGTTGCTATGTGTATACCAAGAAATTTTTTTGATTTTACTCTTTTGATTACACGATTGTGAAAGCAATGATACGACTTTAAAGTGTTATAAAGCACTGGTCTTTAAGTTACTTCATTCTAATCATTAGTTTCTTCAAAAACGATTGCAGAAATTCAGTTTTCTTGTTAAACTAGTTGGCAAAACCAAATCATATCTTTTCGTGTCTATTATACAACAGACCAAAACAAAGGCTTTACTAGCTGAGTTTGACCTGTGAAAAATTTTATTAAATTTCACTTAAATGGCTGAATTTTAAAAATGAGTTCAAATCTAATAATACTGTTTTAATAAAAAGTTTTTAACAAGTTATAAAAACTTGTGAATTTATAATTATAATTCAAATATAATAAAAATTTCAAAAAATATTTTATCTAGCTTTTGTTAAACAGCTATTTTCATAGCTAAACATCTATGTAAAAACATTATTTGGCATTGTAAAGTTATTAAAATAAGTTTTTTGACTCTAGGTAAGTATTTATGTTTATTTATAATTAAAAGTTATTTACAAAATTTACACAGTAAAAAACTTAATTTTTTTTTTTTTGTAGTTTAAAAAAATTAGTAAAAATTAGGGAATCCAATACCAGTATACCAAGATACCGTTCAATTTTGTTTAGTCTTGAATACCGGTATCAAAAGGCTTAAATAATGGTATTTCGGTAATTTAATGGTTGTTTTTATATTCATTATTTTTAACAATATTTGTATACTTCATTTACTTTTTAAAATTGATTTATAACGAAAGTTTTAATTAAAATGAACCAACATTTAAGTAAATATTAAAAAGTGCCTACTTTTGGGAATTATAGCATAGTAGTATTACAAATTATGAAAATACATAAGTTTGAAAACATCTGTAGGTTATTTTTAAAATATGTTTTATTCTATCATATATGTTTGAACTGTTTGTGTGAGTAAAAACCCAATATATAAATGAAAAGTTGCCAAACTGACTTTAGCTCATTGATGAAACAATACATCGTTTCATCAGCTTTTGACACCACATAATTTAAACTCAGTGCTCTGAGTTTAAATTATAATATGTGATGGCCTTCATACAAATCTAAAAGCCAAGCTAGATGTAATATTACGAAAACGAGATGCTAGTAAAAGTATTAAATTGAAGCAATAAACTTCCAAATCCGCAATGACTATACAAAAAAATGTTACTAGTTAGAGAGAAACTATTCGACAGATAGTAATTAAAGAAATATCAGAATATAAATTAAATCACAAAGGTTTTAGAATTACTTTTAATAAGAACCATCTGCTCGAATGAATTAATAGGCACCGATTCATATTTCGATACTGAAGAGCACGAAACCTATGGTACCTTTGAAAATATTGTAAATAAATACAAGGAAGGATTAGTGATGAATTACATAATACGTGATTACAAAATACAAGGATTAGATACAGGTATAGTCAAATTAGCCCCTTGACACAAAATTCACTGTTTAAAAGAATGCAAAACTTTTCAACCAACCTGTATAATTTGCCTGTTGAAAAAAAAATTTCATAAACAAATAAACTTACGCCCATTACTAACTGCTTGTGCATTATTTTTACTTTTCTGAGATGAAATACTTGGAATGAGTGTGTAACAGACTTCTTTCTTGAGAGGAAGGTGTTGGTCAGTAACAGGGATATCAAAATTTTCACAAAAATAATCCGACAAACAATAACTAAAAAGTTAAACACACAAAATTAATAATTCTAAATTAATCTGCAAAATGAAATATATATTTTAAAAATAACTTATCATAATAAAAACATACCAATAACGATTGACAAAACCCAATGCACAAGTTTTTGAACCTTTTTCTTCATGCCATTGACATCTTTGATTAAATTTTACATAACATTAGGAATTTCATACATTACAGAATTACTTAAATAACATTTCCTAAAACAACTTTTTAAAATTTTAAATACTAAGGCATGCTATCAGAAAAATCTGCCCACCTTTCTTGATCAAAAAAGGATGTAAGAAAGCTGTATTTAAATCAACATATTTCTGAAAAATTGACTGTAAAGATCACATATTAATAGGGGAAAAACAAAAAAAATTGAGTTTTTCAGAAAATTCTGACTTTCTTTTTGATGCCTCCCATAAGTTTCTGGACAGAGTGATTTTTGTAAGTTTTAGCAGCGTAATCCCATTTTTTCTTCAAATCTGTAGCTGATTTTACTGTTTTTCCACTTAATTTCAATTCCTTTTTTATGATAGCCCAATATTTTTCAATAGAACATAATTTGGGGCAGTTTGGAGGATTCATCTTTTTCGGAACCAACATCACTCCATTATCATCGTAAAACTTTTGAGCATCTTTTGAGTAATGTATTGTGGTTAAATCAGGCCAAAACAATACTGAAGTACTTCTATGAGCTTTAATTAGTCGTTTTATACGAGAAAGACAACATTTCACGTATTCCGAAGATTTCAATGTGCCCAAACAAATATGAACTGGCGATTTTTTGCCGCAAGAGGAAAGTGCCTGCCAAATCATCAATTTTTTTAAAAAATTTATCAGTCATTACATACTTGTATTTATCACTCACATTTCCTATTATTTTAGAAGCATAGTAGCACTGCCCAGGAATTTGTTTAAAATCCATTTTAACATAAGTTTCATCATCTATCAAAATGCATCCATTATGTTTTGTTAACAAGTTGTCATACAGCTTTCAAGCTCGACTCTTTTCAGTTGAATTTTGTTTATCGTTGCGATTTGGCAACGATAAACAAAATTCAACAATTTTTAACTACTTTAAAACTTTGATATCCAAGTTTCTATCGCCATTTGTGTACAAAAAAAAATTGAAAACCTTCCGGTTTTTCGCTCGAAATCTATCAGACCGATCAAGATGTTCTTTAACCGTTCGAGAGCTCTAGGATTCGCTTTTCGTTTTTTTCGACCACTTCCTTGCTTTCTCTGAATAGCTTTCTGTTCTGTAAACCGTATAAGAACAGTATCTACAGTTCTTCTTGATATTTTTAATGATTTCACCAACTTTCTATTCAATAAAGTTGGATTTTTTAAGTGTTTGTTCACAATCAAAAATCTTTGTTTAGTTTTCTCGGTTGACATTTTGAAACTAAATAATATTTTTAATTATTTTTTTCTGTCAAAACGTTCTATTATACAAACACTACCACACACAAAAAAGTTATTTCAAAAAACGACTGTTAACTAGCTTTACCACACCGCAAAAGGTGGGCAGATTTTTCGAATAGCATGCCTTATTCTATAATGTTGATAAAAAATTTTACTAAAAAAATTACAAAACAAAAATTTGTCAAAAATGGTTTTATGGCGTATTAAACATTGATAAGTATAATATAAAACTTAGTTTTTCTGCAATAGTAAAACAAAAGTAAAAAATAAAATGTTACAACTTACCCCGCAGCGGGGCAAGTTGCAGCAGAGAATGGGGTAAGTTGCAACACAATACTTTGAAAGTATCAGTCTTGCAAAGTTTAAAGAAAAATTACAAGTTAATATCTAATTTCTATTTAGCAACAAAAATTTTATAATTACATTAAAAGTAAGCAGTATTTTCATTTCATATATATATATATATATATATATATATATATATATATATATATATATATATATATATATATATATATATATATATATATATATATATATATATATATATATATATATATATATATATATATATATATATATTATATATATATATATATATATATATATATATATGTATATATATATATATATATATATATATATATATATATATATATATATATATATATATATATATATATATATATATACATATACATATACATATATGATCATTTATTTTTAAATTTATTTATTTGAATTTCATGCTATACTTTGCTATGCAATGGTTTTATATCTGAAGATATTGTTGGCTTAACATAGGAACAACCACAAATAATCATAAAGACTAATCTAAAGTAGCAACTGATATTGACCAACATTTTTGTACATCAAAGTAGAGGAGACAGGGGCTAACTGCAATAATGCATTTTAAAGAATGGTTTTTATATATTGTTTCAATTTTTTTTTACATTACATAATTATAATTATAACATGTCACCTATAAAATATTTATAGCAATAAATAAAAATTTCAAAAGTTATTGATTATTTCTCTTTTTTGATATAAAACTCTATTTTTTGTTTTCAAATTTTTTTTGGGTTTTAAGATATATGACCATAATAAAATAGTGGTAAGTTAAAAAAATCTTTTTCAAACACAAAAAGAATAAAAAAATTTATTAAATTTAAGTAATTATATATATTGATTTATTAAATGTAAATAATTATATACATTGATTAGAGTGATCATGATGCCTACGAGGTAAGTCGCAAAAAATTGCTTGGATAAGTTGAATCATAAAATAACTGCGGATTTTATTGATTTTTGCACTTTTTTAGTTATTTCTGAAGTAATCAATGTTTTTTTAACAATCTGCTAATCAGTTAATATTTCTGCACATCAATGAAAAAAAACATTTAAGAATTTTAATTGTTAAATTAAAATGTAATTCTTTAGTTTCTTTTGTTTGCTTTTTAATTAAAGTTAATTGTAATTCTTTTTTTATTATCTAAGTTTGATTTTTGTTAAATTTTTTTACATTTTAATTTTTTTTTTTTAAACAAATGTTATCGCACTTTTCTATGCTAAAAACAGGACTTAAACATCCTAAAAAATTCTCTTAAATTTTTCAAGTAAAAGAAATTCAAGTATTCTAAATGAATACTTTTTTATTCAGAAACACTTTAGAGTTATAATAATAAATTAGTTTAAATAATAATCCTTCTTGTTTAATTTCTTCAGTCTTTGAAGTCTTATGAATATAATTATTAGTTTATCAAACAAGTCAGGTACATGTAAAGACTCGAATAACAAAAGTATTGCAGCTCAATGAAAATACTGCTTACTTTTAATGTAGTTATAAAACTTTTGTTGCTAAGTAGAAATTAGATATTTATTTGTAATTTTTCTTTGGACTTTGCAAGACTGATACTTTTAAAGTATTGTGTTGCAACTTACCCCATTCTCTGCTGCAACTTGCCATGCTGCAGTTTTTTAAATTTTGTTGCAACTACCCCCGGTCTACCCTATTACTCAACCACTGAGTTATCAATGACTGGATTTGAACTGGTATCATATGACTGCTAGGTTTTAACAATACTTTTGACGTTCTAACCAACTGAGCTACCCAGCCACACACACACACACACACACACACACACACACACACACACAAATATATATATATATATATATATATTTTTAATTTTAATTCACCTCCTCAATGCCAAGAAGGCCACTACAGACAAGGAGGCTACTTATTTGTGGTTATAACCCTCTCTTAACTCTATAACTCCGAAACACGAACCTTGATGAACAAGGCTGCTGTGCGGAGAAACGAGTTGAGCGCGGTACTACCAGGGACGTGGTGGGGATCGAACTCGGAATTAATATGTATATATATTCTGGAATTAAGAATTAATATTCTGGAATTAATTCTCGAACTCAGAATTAATATGTATATATAATTCCGAGTATATATATATATATACTCGGAATTAATATGTATATATATATATATATATATATATATATATATATATATATATATATATATATATATATATATATATATATATATATATACATAAACTCATATTTGTGAAAGAAACGATTGGTCAAATGATAATAATCTAGAAAATTTAAATGTTATTAAGCATTTTATTATTATTTTTATTTTATTCAACCATATCAATAAAAATTTACAAATCTCATCGTAAATTAATAGAATTTGGTTAGGTGTCACTCATATAGTTACAAACTAGTCAATAGAGTGACACCTAAAAAACATAAAATTCTCGAAAAAAATAAAGAAATAAAAAAAAATAATAAAAATATATATATATATATTTATATATTAAAAAAAAAAAGGAAACGAAAAGCAAAAAAAAAAAAAAAATGCATATATATATATATATATATATATATATATATATATATATATATATATATATATATATATATAAATAAGAGAGAAAAAAAAAGAAAAGCTAGTTAAACAAATAACAATGATATATATAATAATTATAGTAATAATACAAAATAATAACAATAATAATAAAGTATCAATAATATTAAGAATATTTATAATACAATATAAATTGTATGTACATATCATAGATAATAACTAAATATAATAATAACATTAAAAGTAGCAATAATAACACAATAAATAAATATAATATAGATAAATAATAAATAAAAAAAAAATCAAACCACTCGCTCTTTAAAGAAATTATATAATAAAGACAACTACAGTACAGAGAGAAATTATAAAGAAATACGCTCTATAAATATATATTTTTAAATTGAATTCTGTTGAGCAGTAAATAATCCGTAACAAGGGGATACTTTTTTTTTTCTTTTTTATTAATGCAGGAATACACTGGTTCCAATCGGAAACACATTGTTGTTTTATGGAAAACTTACCATATTTAATTGTGTTGATAATAGAAGAATATAGCGTACTATTTTCTGTATTCCTGGTGTGATGATTATGAATTTCATTTGTTTTAATAAAAAAGTTTAAAAAAGAGTTTGGTAGTTTATTTTGGAAAAAGTTAAACACAAAAAGACAATTGTAAAACTTTACAAGATTATGGAGTTGTAGGATTTTTTGGATATCAAATCTCATTGGCAAAAATGTCATTATTCTAATAGATGCGCGTTGTAAACTAGCAATGCTATTAGGTAAAATTTTTTTTTGACCCCAAACAATACAACAGTAGCGAAGGTGAGAAGAGAATAAAGAAAAATAAATCATTCGAAGAGTTTGGATAGGGTCATAGTAACGAATTAGAGATAGCATACTGTTAGCTGGTGTAAGTTTTTTTTTCAGATGATACAGTTGATTATACCAAGATAGGTTTTCATCAAGGTATATTCCAAGATACTTTACATATTTTAATGGGAAAAAATTTTTTTATGATAATATTAATTTTAATAATATCAATAGTTTTTCGAGGGGAATGAAAAATAATGTATACAGTTATATTGACATTCAAGGAAATATGATTACTATTTAGCCAGTTACATAAGCGATGGAGATCTTGATTAACTTTTTTGCAAAGAGTCGTAAGTGATTTGTTGATATATAAAAGATTGGTATCATCAGCATAATGATGTACCATAGAATTTTTTAATGAACAAGATAAATCATTTATATATTGTAAAAACAATAACGATCCAAGAACGGAACCTTGTGGAACGCCATATTTAATAAATTTATGGGTAGTTTCAAATCCATTAATTGAAACAAACTGAGTGCGATCCCTAATATATGAAGAAAACCAATGATTAGCAATACCACATATTCCGTAGTAGTTTAACTTTTTAATTAGAATGTTGTGATCAACCGTATCAAAAGCTTTTTGAAGATCTATGAATACACCACAAACAAAGGAACCACTGTCAATTGCACCACGAATCATTTCAGTAATGCTAATAAGAGCATGAGAAGTGGAGTGATTTGAGTGAAACCCAAACGGTCGAATATGAAAACAAGCAGAATTATTCAAAAAGTTGTAAATACGAGAATACATAAGTTTTTCTAAAAGTTTGCTGACATTTGATAATAATGAAATTGGTCTGTAGTTATTAAATTCAAGTTTTTGATTTTTTTTAATGAATTGGAATAATAGTAGCAGTTTTTAAAATATCAGGGAATACACCGGTGATAAATGACAAATCAAATAGTTCAGAAAGTACAGGAGAGATATTATTTACAAGAGTTTTAAAAATAGGTATTGGAATGCTGTTAGGTCCCGAAGCTTTGCTGTCATTAAGAGAATGAATAATAGATAATAACTTGTTTTTTTCTGTAGGTTTTATGAATATTGATTTAAGATTAGGATTCTTAAGATATTTATTAAAGTCAGTATCGGATGAGTGAATCTTTTTCTGTAATTCTTCCAGAACTGAAACAAAGAATGAATTAAAAGATTCCAAAATTTTAATGAGGTCGTATATCATGGAGTTGTTGAAGATAAGCAGGAAGGATATGAATTAACTTTTGAACTAATGTTTAAAAGATTTCAAATTTTTGGCATTATCAGAGAAGAACTTAGAGTAATGGTTCTTTTTACTACAACGGGTGAGAGTAACAAGTAAGTTTTTATATGTTTTATAAGATTTTTCTAGATTGGGTTTGTTATTAGGATTCTTTGGTTTAAGAAATTTATTAAATATTTTATTTTGTATTTTAATTGAAGTTAAGATTCATATTGAAGTTATTCACAAATATATTCGATAGCTTAATCTTATACACTTAAAATTGTTAAAAAAGAAGACTATCATCATTGCAATGTTTAAAGCCTTTTTTTCTAAGACGTTTTAAATAAATGAACTAAAAAAAAAAGCAAATGAAATAAAACATTTGCAATGTTAAAGGGATCCCCAAGCGTCAAAACAAGTTGTGTTCATATCTAAGAAAAACATTTTTAAAAAACCTAAATCGAGATAAACATGTAGAGTATGTTTGGGGTTTCCTGTTTGCAGTTAAACAAAAATATAAGATTCAATTTTTAATATCAATATAATAGATATATATTAGATCATTTTAAAAACGGTATTTTGAATTATAAGTATAAATTAACACAATAAAATATATATAATAAATTAATAAGTATAAATTAATATGATAAAATATAAATTCAATCACAAAAATGCTATTTTATTTTTGTGATTTAGTGTTAAATAGTACAAAAAAATTTCAGATTGTAAAAGAAAACATACTTTGCTGTATTTTTTAATAAAAGTAATAAATTACTATTTTTATTACAATAGTTTATTCTAACTTAAACGCTTCACAATACGTTGAACAAAAAACAAAAACATGCTACAATGAACATTTTTTATAACCACCGCAGACTATTTTTAAAGGGGAAAACATAATCTGATTATGCAAAACTGAACTGTTTAAAAAAATCTGCGGTGAGAGAAATTATCTATTATTGAAACCAGATGTTTTTTTAATGGAAAAAATTTGCAGATTTGAGAGCCTAAAATTAGGCAAACGCTTTTGTTAATATTTTATTCAATAATTTGTTTTGGAAGGTTTAATTAACATTCAACTTATTTTCTAATGTTTATCTTTGATATGAACACAGCTTGTCTCAACGCTTGGGGATCCCTTTAAAATTAGTGAAAACATTTAAAACTGTGATAGTGGTAATTTGGTGATTTACCCAGCATCTTTTTCTTTTTTGTTTTGCATATAAAGTGTTAGTGATAAGTGTAAGTGTTTATTTTCTTTTACTAAAGATTTCATTTGTTTAGATTAGTTAATAAAAACAGCAAAATAAACCCAACTACTTTAATAGAACAAGTGTATAACTATTGCATCTTAATGCTAAAATGAAAAACATTGTAGAGTATTTTGTTGCCTCTAATTACTGCGAAAGAACAATCAAACATTATGTGGTAAAGTAAAAGAACAACGAACCAACATCTTGTAAACCTGGATCAGGCAGAAAACCAAAAATTATGACTGCTGGAACTGGAGCATCAATCCCCTGAAATACCTGAAAGAAACAACCGATCTGGAACTTCAACTATAGTTCCAGACAGAAAATTGTGAAGAAATTTGTGTAATTACTTCTTTATTGTTAATAACATTTAAAACAAAACAATATGTTATTAAAAGAAAAAAATAATTCCTGATTGCACTGATAAACAATTAGAGCAATTGCAACTGAAGTGTGAAAGAATTCAGAAACAAATTCAGAAGTCAGAAACAATGAATTTTTCACTGATAATGCATTTAACATTTAAACACACAAATAAAAATTACAATACTGAATTTTACTCCGATAATCCAAAAAATGTAAAATAGAAGCAAAATAAATTTGAGTAAAAAAAATTGTATGCAGATAATCATATCCCCCTCATAGAACCTCTCAATCCATTATTGTTTCTGCATGACTGGCAATGAAACTGCCAAACGGTGTATAAAATCATTGCATCATCAAAAGATTGATTCCTTTAAACAAACATCATAGTGATGATTATGCACTTTAGCCTGAAAAAAAATGTCTATTTTGTTACAGAAATTGATACTTTAGCTTGTGTCTCAGAATAATGACCTATTGGGGATTTCTGGTCATTCTTTAAAGGCTAATAGTATAAAAACAATCAGGAAACTGAAAATGAAGACCAATTGCATAAAAGAATTGGATGTTGTTAAAGAAAAGTTATTCATAAAAATCTTGCACAACACGTGCAAACATGTATACAGAAAAAGTGATGCAGTGTGTCATAATGGCGAGAAAGCATTATGTCAGTTTGGAAAGTAAAAAATAAACATATTGCTTACTATTATGTATTAAATTTTTGATCATTAAACCTTTCTTTGTACTATTACAACATGTGTTTATATTGTAGCAAATTTTAGTCATCAAGGGTTAACAGCTCTAGCTATATGAGCTTTAATATCATTTATAATAATAATAAATAGTATGATACTGAACATGTTTTATTAATTTATATTATTACCGCACATATTGTTAAAGATGTCACTTAAACATTTTGCCTATACAACTTCTACTTATAAAAAAAGCTTATTTTAAAGATGACCTTAAAGCTCATTTTGTCTTAATGACTCCTACTTATAAATAGCCTGATTCAATCATTGAAAACCTATTTTAACCCAACCAAAATTAAACTAAAATTTAGTTATAGACCTTATTTTGTGTCATTTTGTAATAATCATTGAGACAAATAAAATAAAGTCACTACCTTGTCCCAGCATCCCAGTCAAATATTGTTGAAGAAATCAGGTCTGTTGCATTCTGTTTGCATGAATTTATAGATTTTGGTCTGTCTGATAAATGAGCATCAAGATCTAGAATAAGACTTTCCAGCTCATAAACTCTTTTCAATTGGTAAGTTCGACCTGAACAACAAATTCATATTCATTTTTATGTATAAAAAAAAGTATAAAAAAATATGTTCAAAATAAAATACAGATTTAAAGAGTATTATAAACAACCTGCTTTTTTAGCCAGCCATTTGAGACACATATCAGTTTTATCACACTCACTAATCTAAACAAAATATATAGATATATATTTTTTTAATGCAACTCACGCTATTAAAAAAACATTTCTGAGAATTCCTTGTAAGTCTATGAAATTCAATAAACTATTTTTATTTCTGATTAAATTTATAAATTGCTTTTATTTTAACAAATTGTGCTTTCTTCAACATGTTTAAGTTGGTATTTTACACCAATGATACCAATGATATATATATATATATATATATATATATATATATATATATATATATATATATATATATATATATATATATATATAACAGCTGCACACCTTAATACTACATCCACCATGTTTTACAGTTGATAATACACTATCATGCATTTAATGATTTTTTTTCAGATCAAAAGTCTTCTCTTGAAACCAAAGATTGAAAACTTCGACACGACAGTCCACATTTACATCCATTGGTGGTCCATCTTTTATCTAGTTTTGCCCACTTTAGCATTTTTATTTCTCTTATAATTCTTATCAAAGCATTTTAATCAAAATACTTTTATGTTATTTAAATTATGTGTATATATATATATATATATATATATATATATATATATATATATATATATATATATATATATATATATATATATATACATACACACACACACATTCTAAGATAAAATTTGCTTTAGAAAAAACAACAGAAAAATGCATTATTAAACATGTACTTACCCTTACGAATAATGGGGGTATTTTACCAGAGTTTCCAGAAAGGAAATACATTAGCCCATCATATATTTTTGGGTAAGTATCTTCAGGTAAAGCTATCCCTTCAACAGGAATTTGATGTGTTAAATTGCCTAATTTAAAAGATTTAAATAAGTTACCATCCTTAGCTTTTTATTCTAAAATACAATTAACTTTTAACATAAAATTATAATAATAGAAAATTATAAAATAATTTACTTTTTTGTTGTGCTATAAACCTGTAGCCCTGTGGAATTGGACCTGAAAAAACAAAAAAACTTTACTCAAACCTAAAACATTGTTGATCAACCTGCAGGGAGAAAAGAGAGGGGAGGGATCAAACCTCAGTGGTATAAAATCAACTGTAAATATGCCTCTTATTTTGTAAAGAATTTATTAATCAGATTTACTTTGAAGTAGAAGAATTTTTTAAGGGGGTTTACTTTGAAGTATAAGTAATTTGAAAGTTTTTAAGGGGGTTTACTTTGAAGTAATTTGAAAGTTTTTAAGGGGGAGTATAAGTAATTTGAAAGTTTTTATTCCAAATAAAACTGTTTTTTAAACCAAATGTGTTGATTTAAAAAGAAAATGATCTATCAACTTGACACTGTAATGCATCTTAGCATGTCTGTACTATATAAACTAGCCTTTCATAGTATAAATAATTTAATAAGTGAAAACATTTAATTAATATTAAAACATTTTTTTAATACTTTAACAAATGAAAAAATTTTAAAAAAATCTGAAAATAAAAGATTTAAAAAAAGTACTAATAATAACAATAATTAAAACCTGGATTGATATGCTTATGAAAAGTCCTTTCAATTCCATTCCTAAGGCTATATTCCACAACTGCAATCTCTAAAGGTTGATACTCAGGCTCCTCAAGGAGACACACAAACGAAGGAAAATAAAACTTCTCATCAAGAACCTCTAAAAAAAGTTTCTTAAAAATGACATCAGAAAACTCTGAAAAAAACATTGACTCAGAAAAAAACATTGTTAGAATTAACTCAGAAAAAAACATTGTTACTGAAACTAAACATTGTTACTGAAAACATTGTTAACTGAAAAAAAAATTGACTCAGAAAAAAACATTGTTAGAATCAACTCAGAAAAAAACATTGATAGAATTATATGGAGTGGCAGGATCAATAAACTTACGTCTCCCTGGTAACCATTCAGAACTCACTTCATCATGCTCACGTTTCCTTTTAAACTCATTAACTTTAAACTTGTCTGTGTTATCCTAAAATGATTTATGAATCAGAATTATTTAACTACAGAACTTTCAATAAACATTCAATAAACTTTAACTTTTAAAATTTTTTGTTTAAAAAAAAAATTATTTTATAATTAGTGCAGTGCAATATTATCATTATAAGAAGTCTCAGCCCCAACCGCGGCTAAATATTGAACTACAAATCCGATCCCAACAAAATTAAAAGATTTAGCAAGGATTAATATCTGGGGCTAGGAAAAAAATTATAACACATTTATATAATAAATTTATGCATATATTCACTATTTAGTAAATACTGGCATTTAATATGGATATATATGGACGTAATATGGATATATATGGATGTAATATGGATATATATGGATGTAATATGGATATATATGGACGTAATATGGATATATATGGGCGTAATATGGATATATATGGATGTAATCCACGTTTGCTATTCATTTATATGCTGGCATACAATATCCTTACATATTTAGACAAATTTTAATAAGGGAGAGTTGCTGATATTGCAACATCTAAAGAATAAACATTTTTTAACCAAATATGGTTTAACAATGAAACACTTATTATTAGATAATGATAACACTTATAATTTGATTTATCCAGACAACCCTACTATACTTTTAACCATAAATTTACTTTATTGGTAGCTGTTAATGGAAATAAATTCTGTATTGTCTAGACTTTTGTCAAGACAGTTCTAAGATCAACTGGTTTCTTAAATTTAAATACTTTTGTTCCTTAATTGGAACAGCTTCTTTTAAAAAAATATCCAGTAAAACCAAAAGAAATAAATTAAAAATTATTTTTTAATTATTTGCAGTGACAATTTAAACAATTCATTTAAAACTTATTATAAGATTAAAATTGCCCAGGCAAAATGAAATTTTATGAATAATAAATTGAACAAAAACTTTATACAACTTTTGAAAATACTTATTTTCAAATTGCGCCTGAACTATTTCTTTAACCCTTTGATTTTATCACTGATTAAGTACAGAAAATGTTAGTTTTTAATCAAGAAAATTTTGAACTATTTTGTTATACCACTGCAATATGCTTTCAGCAATTTATAAGATATATTTATGTTATTACTTGCATTTTAAATCATCACATTAAACATGAAAAACAGTATAACACACAGAAGTATGTTTACCCAGTGCAATCAATAGTCTGAACACCAAATCAAATGAAAAAAAGTATGCAAAAAAAATTTTAACTGATGGTGCACACAGAAAATAAAAAATTTTACTAGAAAAATACAAAATATAGCAATCAGATATTACTTTTTTAAAAGAAATCCGATTGTCCCAGTTTGGCAACTCTCTTGCTCTAATACCTAAACCACCTTATTCTTCTCTGATAAACCTTGTTCAACACACTCACTACTCCATATCTCTGTCTAGATCATGTTTTCTTTTTTTGACTTGTTAGATTCACACAACACATTCATCTGATAATTATCTTCCCGCTCAGTAAATATAACTCCATATAAATAGAGGAGAGTTCTCAAAATTGCAAGTTCTCTCAACTAATTTAAATCGCAACATACCAAAAAATGTTAAACATAAAAAGCCACTATCAGGCTAGGCCAGGAGTGTGTGCGATTTCAAGTCTTTACATGACCAAGTAAATAATATTTTGTTTTGATGATTTAACCACGGTTTTAACAAATGCGCTGAAAAAATTGGTTTTTAATTACATTAAAAACAAATAACTTCAACACGTTTATCTTTACTAACGTTTTTATATTAGCAAAATGCTTTTAATTAAAGTATTATTAAAAGTTTTATAATTTTTTATTTATAATAATTAATTATAAAAGGTTTTTTTATAAGTAAAAATAAAAAAAGTAAAAACTAAAAAATATATATTAAATTTTATAAAAGACAACTTTAAACAGTGAAGTTCCCTTTAATAAACTTTATATAAGAATCATTAAAGTTTTTGTTGAGAAGAAAAAAAAAAAAGACAAACTTTTTTGAAATCCGTTTGAATTAAATAACTTTGATCTTAACTTACGTTTTAATAATGCATTTAAATAAACTAATGCATTTAAATAAAGTAACAAATCACTGCTAATGATTTTTTATATAAAACATTAATGAATAATATATTTTTTTATATTTAAATAAGTATTTATTTTTATTATAAATGTTTTTAAACAAAAAAAAATTATATCAATTTTTTAAATAAACGATTTATTTATTTTTATTATTTGTGCGAAGAATTGTTCAGAATATTTTGTTAAACTTTTAAATGTGAGCGTTTATTAAACAATCCTCTATTGTAATTTGTTACTTTATTTAAAAAGGGTTTCGCATAATATTATAAAAACATTAGTGAAGATGAACGATTCAAAGTTATTTATTCTAAACGTAATTTAGATAATCTTATCGTTATAGTTAATTATTTATTTTAGTTAAGTTTTAATTTTATTTTTGCTGTTTTAGTAAAGTTATTTTTATTTTGTTTTTGTTATTTTTTTTATGAAGATTTATTTGGTTCTTTAATGATAAGTTTTTTTTTGTTTCTGTATAGTTAAGTTAAAATTTTTTTAGCGCGTTTTTAATACGTATACAAATTTTCAAAACAGCCATGGTCAAGTTAAGTAAAATCAAATAGTATTTGCGTGGTCATACTATGACGTGAAATTGCATGCCTTCTTGGCCAAGCCTGCATTATCACCAAAAAAACTGTTTCAATCTAGACTTACAAAATGAAATACTCTAAATGACAGTGCATGCAGAAGATGACTTAAACAAATTTTAAGGAAGGTATTTTTCACATTTTGAACATTGCCATTAAAATAAAAGACTAAAATAAGTTTAAAAATGAAGATTAACAATAATTTCTAGATTAAAAAAATATTAACATGAAAAGCCATTCAGCAATGTGTTTTGGACGTTTAAATAAGATTAAAAATGTTTCAAAAACATGAAATACTTTCATATTATTATAATTATTACTAGTAATGAACCAATGACAAAGACCAATTGTGGCTAACAATAGGTTTTAATGTATTTATATAAGGGTATTATAATAATATTAAGGATGTAAAATACATATACAGGGCTTAACTTAACAGTCAGATATCGAACTTTGTTCGACTAACACCTCAGACTGTCCAATCAATTTAAGTAATCGGACATTTTGACCCACAGGAATTAAATGACTTTTTTTTGTTTAAAACTTGACCACGACTGTTAAGATGTTATAACGATTTAAACTTTTCAGGAATGCGCTGTAAAAGAAATGTTAAGCTAAACTAGAAAAAAGCTAGCTAACTAGGAAAAAACTTTAAAAAACTAAAGAATAAGCAAAACAATTCGATGAAATATGAAAAAGAAAATGAATTAGCTTTAAAAAAAAACTAAAAAAACTCAAAGTTAAAATTACTTTTTGTTACATTTTTAATTGCATTTGAAAAAATTACTTTAAAACTTATCTTTTAAAACATTTTATTAAAGTACACAAGATGCTTTTACAAATTAATTCTATTGATTGTTTAATAAATGAACAAATTTTATTTAAATTATTGCAAAGTGAAACTAAATTATTAAAAAAAACAAAAAACTTTAAGTTCTATAAAAAAAAATTTCAAAAAATTGCAAAAAAATTGTTTAAAAAAATAACATAGTCTATTAAAATCATAATTTTTAATCATTTCATGTTTTAATTAGTAAGTCAAGTTTAAAAAAAAAACTTTTAAACAATTTTTTATAAAAATAGAAACAAAAAAATAAATAAATAAAGTAAAGCACAGGAAGTAAATCATGGGAAGATTTAGTTTAACTTATAATTTAAAGTAAATTAAAAAAATAATCTTTCAAAAGACTTTTAGAACGACATGGAAAAATAGTTTAAAACGTTTAAATTTATCATAAATACTATATACCTACTAAATAACAACTTGAAAATTTAATTTAAACATGTGTTTAATTTAAACAATCATTATAATTCATTTTTGATCTTATTTAAAGCCTTTGGGTAAAATAAAAACTTTTAAAAAAATCAACAATTAAAAGCCATTCATAACGTCACAATTTTTAAAATTGCTTTTAAATTGTTAAAACATCAAAACAGCTGTTGTCAAATTGTAAAGAATAAAAAAACTAAGCGTTGTCAGTAACAGCGTGAAAATTTGAAAATTCTAAAAAAACAAACAATAATAAGTTGAAACTATTTTATTAAAAAACTAAAATCTGCAATAAAATAAAATAAAAAGGAAAGAAGAGTTTGAGCCTCATTCACATCGTCGTAAAGTTGCAGATCTTTCTCTTTTCTACAAATACTATCGTGCTCACTGCTCAAAGTAGGTATCACCTCTAGTTCTATCAACTAAAACTCGTTCTAGCTTGACTTATCATTTATTTAAGTCTCATTGTTTTACTAAATCTCTTCTTATATTCTCTAAAAATTTCTATTTGCCTAGTTTTTCTCTCCGCACCTCAACCCTTTGGAACTCTATCCCACCTTTGTATTTTCCTGATTCATACAACCTCTAACTTTTTAAGTTTTCTGTCAACCGTTTCCTTGCTTTATAACTCTATTCTTTTTTTTAGTAACTTCCAACTTAAACTTTCAGCCTTTTTGGGAGTGAATCAGAATAAAAAAACAAAACATGAAATTCATGGTATTTTTAAACAGGATGCTCTAAAATGTAAACCTCCACCACTTTTAAAATAAAAAATAAAAGCTCCTTATAGAGAATTCATCAACATAAAACTAATGCATCATAAACAATTATGGCTTCACTTTATCAAGTTCAGTTATAATCCTTGTTAAAACCAAGATCCACATTCTTCTAAAATGGCAAGCAATTTGGATATGTTTTTAGGCACACTTACAAACTGGGTATGTCTATACCAAAATTGTAATTTTGTATTTTAACAGTAAAGTATTAAAACCTTTACATTACTAGCATTATACCTCACAAATGAAAACTTTTAAATTACTTTTAAGATTAATTATTAAAAAATAAAAATTACTCATTACTACCTAGGTAATATTGCATAAGTCCATTTAAATAACTCTTTTTAAAGTTTGAATATTTAAAGATAAATGATAAATTTAGATAATCATCTAAAACTAAAATAAATCATACATTAGCTATGGTAACAACACTGTTAGGCTTGATTTGATTTTGTGAGGGATTTTTATTTTTATTTTCCCAGTCTTCTTTTGCCAAAGTTTTGTACATTTCTTTATCTTCAGCAGAGAGATCCTAAAACATAACCATTGATTTTAAATAAATAAATTACTGAGATAAATAACTTAAATTTCAGATAAAATTTATTTACTAGAAATCCATTCTGTACAGTCTCTAATTTTGGTTTTAAGATTTAGTAAAAGTAATGAATTATATATATATATATATATATATATATATATATATATATATATATATATATATATATATATATATATATATATATATATATATATAATATAATATAATAAAATATATATATATATTTTTTTTTTTTTTTTTTTTTTTTAATTATCTTCGCTTCCAACAAGGTTGCAAGCAACCACTAATTAGTGTTGGAAGTTACTGGAAGAGAAAAGATGAAGATTGTAGAGCAAGATAACGATTGACAGACAACTTAAAATATTGCAAATTACATGAATCAGGAAGGCAAGATGAAGGAAGTGAATTCCAAAGAACTAATGTTCAAGGAAAAAAAACTATACGAATAAGAGTTTTTGGAGCACTTAGGAACAGTAACAGAAAAAGGATGAGACTTAATTGAATGACAAGTAACACGAGAATGAATTTTAGTAGATGGCACAAGAGACGCTAGCTCTTTCGAGCAGTGCCCATTATAGTATTTGTAGAAAAGAGAAAAAGAAGCAACATTACAACGATGTGACAGAGGTTGAAGGTTGGCTGCAAGAGCAGGTCCAACTATGTTTACAATGCATTTTTGCACCTTGTCTAAAAGAGAAAGGGCATCATTAGAAGATCCGCCTCAGATATGGCAACATTATTCCATACAAGGCCGGATTTGAGATTTATAGAGATAGGTAATAGAATCCAGAATAAGAAAGTGACGAGCTCGATAAAGAGAAGCAACTTTTTCAGATGCTAATTTTGCAATGGATTTGATATAAGATTTCCAAGAAAGATCAGAAGTAAGAGTTAATCCTAGAAGATGAAGGGTAGGAGGTTCATCGAGTACATTACTGTTCATAAATATAGGAAGGTCTAAACTATTGCGATAACGATTGGCCGAAAAAAATTGAGTTTTATCTGAATTAAAGTTCACCAGCCACTGCGAGCCCCATGCTGTAGCAGAAGTGAGATCCTTTTCAAGCTCAGATACCCCCTGCAAGCAAACAGTTGCAGGGAGTTGGCTTCTTATCATGACAAGAATAAATGGTAGTATCATCAGCGAACAATGCCACCTTAGATGTGAGAATATCTGGAAGATCGTTAATGTAAATTAAAGAGTATAGGGCCAAGGATTGAACCTTAGGGAACCCCTGAGGTTACAGAATAAGAAGAAGAGTGCTGTCCATCAAGGACAACTTTTATACTACGATTGGAAAGAAAGGATTCAATAATCTTAAAGATGTTTCCAGATACACTGTAAGAAAAAAACTTATGGAGAAGACCAGCATTCCAAACTTTATCAAACGCTTTAGAAATGTCAAGAGCAATGGCCTTAACCTCTCCACCTTTATCTAATGCGCGATAAAACCTATCGGTTATTACTGATAGCAAATCAGCCGTAGAACGAGAAGATCGAAATCCATACTGATGATCAGAAAGTAGGTTATGAGATTCGAGATGAGAGATTAAGTGCTTGTTAATTAAAGATTCAAAGACCTTGCTTATGATAGGAAGAAGACTAATGGGACGGTAGTTAGATGAGTCAGATCGCTCTCCAGAATTTTTAAAAGTAGGGATAACAGATGCTGCTTTCCAGCAGGCTGGAAAACAAGACTCTAACAAGCACTTGTTGAATAGTTTTGAAAAGATAGACGACAGCTCAGGAGAACACTTCTGCAAGACTATAACAGGTATGTTGTCCGGGCCGCAAGCTGTAGAAGAGTCTAAGCGGGAAATCACTTTAGATACAGAAGCTGGAGTGATACGAATGTCGAGCAATGGATCAACCTGTTTGACGGGTATATCAGGTAAAACGCAACTAGTGGCATCAAGAGATGATATTGATGAAAAGTTCTTGGCAAACAATTCAGCTTTGTCTTTAGGTGAGGTGACAAAGTCTGAACCGTACAAAAGAGGTGGAATTACAGACTTGCCCTTATTATTGATACTATTAAAGATTCTCCAGAAGTCACGAGAGCCTAATTTTTGTGATGAAATACGAGATTTCATGATCTGAGAATAGCGGGTTTTGGCGTTAGACAAAACCTTTTTACAATGGTTCCTAGCAGTAATAAAGAGACGTCTGTTTTCTGGAGAATTGTTTTGCTGATAGATATGGAAGTAATGGTTTCGATTGGCAATTGCAGCAGCACAATGTGAGGAAAACCATGGAGAAGAGTGAGGCTTGACCTGGAATCGTCGAGAGGGAATAAAGGATTCCATGAAGTTATGTAAGAAGCACATTTGTCAACAGGGAGACGAAAGATTTCTACCCAGGGGCCATCACGAAGAAAGTCACGAAAAGAGTCCCAGTCAGCTTTAAGGTAGTTGAAAGATGTACGATGATAGGGGGATTCTAATGGTAAAGAAGAATGAGATAATAGTTTTAGAGAGACCAAACCATGATCAGACGCACCTAAGGGTGAGTGTGAAGAAACTGAGCACTGACTAGGATCAGAAACAAGACATAAGTCGAGTAGAGAAGGTAAATGATTCGGGTTGTCTGGAAAGCGAGTTGGAAAGTTGACTATTTGAGTTAGGGATTGAGAAAGACAAAAGTTGTGGGACTTAATGCCTGCATATATATATATATATATATATATATATATATATATATATATATATATATATATATATATATATATATATATATATATATATATATATATATACTAACAGGATGTTTATTACTCATTCTATACCAATTAACACAAAACGTTTATTGATAGGCTTGATTTTATTTTATTCATAAATTTAGAAACACAATCAAAAAAGTTATATATCTTGTTAATTGATAGTTTTTTTCCCATATTTCTCATTAATAGGCCTAAATTAATTGATTTTGTCAAAAAAACCTTATATAAATATGAATTACCTGGAATTAGTTAATCATTATTTAATAAGTTCTTCACACTGGTGGTGCCAGCGAGAAAATGAGGCCGGGTAGACCCTTGTCAACCACCAGAAAGGACGATAGTGTCCTTTTTAGAGCTGTCAGAGCTAATCCAAGAATTAGTTACAAAGTATTGACCATAGAATTCAATACAACGCGAAATACATCTATTTCTCAAAGCACAGTCCGATGAATACTTATCAAATACAAAACTGGATTCTACTCTGCTTTGGAGAAACCTCTCCTGCATCCATATGATAAACAACGGAGACTAAAATGATGTCATGAAAGAAGGTATTGGACAATAGAACAATGGAAAAACATGTAGAGTGATGAGAGTAACTTGAGTTTATCAATCTCAAATCAAAACATAACACTCAAAAGAATGGCTCACGAAAAGTATTACACCAGGTACATTAGACTGACTGTACAAAGTGAAGGAGGCTTGATAGTAATCTTGTCATGTTTCACTTACAAAGGTGTTGGTATGTGCCAAATATACACCTGAAGAATCAACTCCAGAATATACGTAGAAGTACTGGAAAACAACTTAATTTCATCAATTGATGCGCTTATGCTCAATGATAAACCATGGAAACTTCAACAAGATGGCATTACTGCACATACTGCAAACTATACAAAGGAGTGGTTCAACAATAATAATATCAAGACAAAAGCATGGCCTCCATACTCACCTGATTTGAACCTGATTGAAAACATTTCGGCTTGGATTGACCGTGAATTGGCAAAGGTTCAAATTTCCACACTTGGCCAGCTGAAGGACGTCCTTAAGGAGACCTGGTATAAAGTTCCAGAAGCGATGTTCAAAAATCTTGAAGAGTCTAAGCCTAGAAGAGTTGTTGGTTGTATTAAAGCAAAAGGCGGATACACAAAATATTGATTAGGTCATAAATTACGCCTCCTAATGTATCATGCCTCTAAATTTATGAAAAAAATTTTTGTCTTATTTTTTTAATGCAATATAGTTGTACCTAAGTATTCTTAGTATTTGTATTTTTTTTTAATTTTGTATTTAGTATGTATTTATCTAATAAATAAAAAAAAAACTAAACCGAAATCTTTTTTCGTTATTGTTTTATCATTAAAAAACTAAAAATTCTCAAATATGAGTGTGTCTAAATTTATGAAAACCACTGTATATATAGGCTATATATATAAGCCTCGGCAGGAGTAAATGAGTGTGAGAGCGGCAAAAAGCTCTTCTGAAACGAACATGGCGTGTTATACGAGCTGCTCCTCTAAACAGCTTCTTAAAAGAGCTTATGGTTTTCACGCAAGCTATCTGTTTATTCATTAAAAAATTGCTTATTAAATACAAAATCTTGGTTTTATACTTGTTACAAGCCCAGGATGCGACAAATCCTTTTTTTTTAAATGAATGTTGATTTATGTATCTTTATTTAATGACGAACGTCTAATTTAAGAGATAAATGGAAGATTTATTTTCAAATAATTTTTATTCTAGTTAATAAGTTATTAGATATATCAATGATGTTATTGAATTTAATTTTTATTTTTTTAAAACAATTTTTTTGGCATTTGCGCAATTAATGATAATTAATATGCAACGACCTAACGATTGTAAATTGTTATCCATTGATACAAAATAAATTTCTTAAATTAGTTCGCTAAATTTATTTACAAATAAAAAAAAAAACATATAAACTTGAAGAAATGAAAATAAAAGGCGCTAAATATAAAATAAAAGTTGTTTTGGCATTTCTTTTTTAAAACTATATCATATTAAGTATTTAACAATAGCTTAGTAAAAATATTATTATTAGCATTGTTTAACGCACAATAAAAAATAAAAACTATAAAAAAATAAATAATATAATTATAATAAACATAAATTCTATATATTTTATTTTATTTTAGCAAAACTTAAAAATTCTTTTTAAACATTTTAAGTGTTTTTAATATCCAAATAAACATTACTTCGCTTTAAGAAAAATAAGAACATCAAAAAAATAAT